ATGCAACAATCCGACGCGAGGCCGTCGCGAAAAGAATCATACGCCCATTCCCCTAGCCCCGAAGTCCAACCACATCATGGTCAATCTGTTATCTGGTTAATCACGATGATTATGCCAAGATTGTCTAAGGGACTACTCCAACTAACTCAATTGCCATCGACTGATGCCCGAATGCCAACAAAGGCGAAGTTGCAATGAGAGGCCTGCTAAGAGGATGTTGACTGGGCTGCTGTACAGAGATCTGTCGCATCGTGGCCTGCTTTTGGGGCTCTCGACCCCCCACCCCAGGCCAGGCTGTTCATCCCTGGTTGGTCCTTTTTGGCGGCCGCGGAGCCCAGACAAAACGCTCCTCTCCGTCAGGGTCCAGATCCGACCCGCCCGTTAAAATCCGGCCGCCCGACCCGCCCTCCCGTTAGAGTACGTCCGCCCGAACCGCCCGTGAAGGTCGTCGTCATTGTCGTCGTTCTCATCGTCGTCGTCGTCGTCGTCGCCCTCGCCATCGTCGTCGTCGTCGTCGCCGTTATCGTCGTCGTCGTCGTGATCGTCGTCGTCGTCGTCGTGGTCGTCGCCGTCGTCGTTGCAAACCTCGGTGTCGTCGTCGTCGTAGACGCCCTCGTCGTCGTCGTCGTCGTAGCTGTCGTCGTCGTCGTCGCCGTCGCCGACCTTGCGCGATCTCGTCGTCGTCGTCGCCCTCGTCCTCCCTGTCACCCTCGTCGTTGTCGTCGTCGGCGTCGTCGTCGCCTTCGCCGTCGTCGCAGAGGCCCTCCTCGTCTTCGTCCTCGTCGCTGTCGTCGTCGTCGCCGTCGCCGTCGCCATTGTCGTCCGCCTCGTCGTCGTCGTCGTCACCCTCGTCGTCGCTGTCGTCGTCCGCCTCGTCGTCGTCGTCGCCCTCGTTGTCGCCGTCCTCGCGCGATCTCCCTCTTCTCCTGCCCCCCCTCCTCCTTTTTCTTGGGGCATGCTGTGAGGGCGAGCGCTCGAGGCGTCAGTCAGCGGCCTCGCGGCCCGCACGCTCCCCCGACAGGCAGAACAGGCTGCACGGGAGAGACGGCCAAGGGCAGGGTGGCTCAGACACGCGGTGGCAACCAAGAGGAAGAGGAAGGGCCCACATCGCCCACCGGATCATACCCTCGCAACCTCCAGCCCTGAGCTGACTACCGTTGAAAATTGGAAGGACCCCTCACCCGTAGGGGGGGGGGACCTAGTAAGGAGGACACCTAACATTAGGGAAGGGGTTCTGTTCTGCAGACGTATCAGAAACAAACCACCCAAATCTATTATCCCTACTGCAAAGACGGGGACCTAAGTGAGGCCACGCCTTCACCCTTTTGATAGACTTAGAGGTTCGTTCATCCTTGGCGATGATACCCAACCCGGATAAATCCAACACCGCAGAAAATCACAACGAGAGCCCGGGCCCCACTTGTCTGCGTCAATTCTCGAGCCAGATCGATCCGTGAGGGCCCCCGGGGCCAGAAACCTGACGAACACGCGCCCGTTGTGAGCAAAAACGCCCGCCAGGATCCGAGGGAACAACAACAAAACCCCTCTCCTGGGGACACCAAAAAGTACCCATACCGCTACTCCCCGGACGTCTCCTGGGGTGCGCCCTGACCATAATTTAGATTAGCGACTCCAGCGGTGGCGGCGAGGGCCTCCCCAGAGGCCCCAAAAGGGGAAAACGCGGCAAGGGTAGCGGTATGGGTACCTCCTCGTCCTCCGACATCCGACATCCTCCCCCTGCTTTCGCCGTTCTCGTCGCCACGGGAGGGACAAAGACCTGCTGTCCGCCACTCTCTCGGGCGACAGCTCGGCGACGCCCGCCTGCAGGTCCCACGGGCAGCCCCTGACGGCGGAGGGGGGGGCAGGGGAGGGTGGAGCATGCAAAAGGATGGCAGAGGAGGAGGAGGAGGAGGAGGAGGAGGAGGAGGAGGAAGAGGAGGAGCTGTTTCAAGCCGCTTCGGGCGGCCACTTCGTGGCTGACCGCCGCGGCTGAGCGTCACTCGCGCGCGCGCGGCGGGTCGGCGCCCGACCCGCACTTCACGGGCGCCAGCACCATTCCTCCTCTAGCTGGCTCCCCGCAGGCGCGGGCGCGCGTGGCAGCGGCGGGGTGGCTCTTCCGGTTTGCTTCCCCTGGAAGCATCACTTGTGCTCACCGCGACCGTGGATGCGGCCTGGGCGCCCCCCGGCGTCTCCTCCTGTGTCCTCTGCCCTGCCGTCGGCAGGCGACCCCTAGTGCGCCCTCCTGCTGCCTGCCTGCTCCAGCCACCCCTGCAGCCAGTGGCGCCCGCTCTGGCGGGCGGCGTGGCGCGTCCGCCGCACGGCCCCCTCAGTTTCTCCGCCGCCAGTTCCGTCGTCGACGCGTCGCACTTCTCTGAAGGGGGCCCCAGGACACACAAATAAATACACACAAATAAAAAGATGCCCCATATTTTCCCATATTTCCCAACCATCTTGTGGCGTTGGGTCCTCGTTTTGAAAAGACAGCGCCCCGCGTCCCACCTTCCTCCTTCATCTTCCTCCCCCCCTCCTCCCCGCCCCCCTTCCCAGCGCAGCGCTTCGTAGCCCCACAGGGAGCTCCACCGAAGGCCCCAGTGGGGGTGTCCGCATGCGGTTCCCCCACCCAGGGCAACGCTTCGTGGCCCCATAGGGAGCTCCACCGAAGGCCCAAGTGGGAGTGCCCGCATGCGCTTCCCCCACCCAGGGCAACGCTTCGTGGCCCCACAGGGAGCTCCACCGTAGGCACCAGTGGGGGTGCCCGCATGCGGTTCCCCCACCCAGGGCAGCGCTTCGTGGCCCCATAGGGAGCTCCACCGAAGGTCCCAGCGGGGGTGCCCGCATGCGGTTCCCCCACCCAGGGCAACGCTTCGTGGCCCCATAGGGAGCTCCACTGAAGGCCCAGTGGGGGTGCCCGCATGCGGTTCCCCCACCGACGGCAACGTTTCGTGGCCCCACAGGGAGCTCCACCGAAGGCCCCAGTGGGGGTGCCCGCATGCGGTTCCCCCACCGACGGCAACGTTTCGTGGCCCCACAGGGAGCTCCACCGTAGACCCCGGTGGGGGTGCCCGCATGCGGTTCCCCCACCCAGGGCAGCGCTTCGTGGCCCCATAGGGAGCTCCACCGAAGGCCCCAGTGGGGGTGCCCGCATGCGGCTCCCCACCACCACCACTGCGGCAGGCCCCTCACACAGTTCGCGGCCCCATATGGAGCTCCACCGAGGACGATATTCACAACTGCGGTACTCACAACTGCATATGGTTGGATCCGTCGCCTGGCTAATTTCTGGGTTTCTGTCTCCCCCCCACACCTCCCATATTTTCCAATATTTTCTGGGGAATCGAGGATTAAGTGTGTCTGTGTGGTCTTTTCCTGCCGATATTCGTGGCACCAGCGGTCGCAGCCCAGCAGCCTGCCCAGCTGGCGCGTGGATTGCACGCCGTGCTTGGTGACCGTCAGCGCCGTCGAGGGCGGGGGGCCTCTGCGCCCCTCGCCCTGCCACCTACGGAGCAACGGCGCCGCCGTCGTGGAGCTCGCCGCCGCGCAGCAGCGACCGCGGATCCATCGTCTGCCTCTCGCCGGCTCCGCTTGAGGTTGCGCTTGGTGGTCGGCTTCGGGCCCGCGTCGTCTTCCGGCAGATCCCTCTTCCTCTTCAGTTCTCCTTCTCCTCGCACGCGCGCGCCTTGCCCCCCCCCGCAGCTCCTCGTCGTCGGGCGGCCTTCTGGCAAGGGCGTCTTTTGTCGTGGCCGCGACGCGCGCCCTGACCAGGCTGACCGCCGCTCTCGCCCACTCGCGGGCGCCCATGCGCGCGTCGTCTATCGCGCACAGACGCGCCCCAGCATCTGCATGCTCGTCGGCCGCCTTGTTCCCCGCCCAGATGCGTCTAGGCACGCCCTTCGCCTCTGCCCCCTGCTCGGTCATGTGGCTGTCCAGCTGGAACATCCCGATGGAACTCCCACCTCCTTCCCTCGCGCGGATGGCCTCTCCCATCTCCCGCCAAAGATCGCCGCTCAGACAGCCCGTGCCAGCGGTCTCCTCTCTCCGCGCGGCCCTTCCTGCGCAGGCGATTTCACCGCCAGCCCAAAAGTCGGCCGCTCCTTCTGTCGCCGCCAGGAAGCTCGGAAAGCCGAACGGCTGGGCTCTTTTATTGATCTGTCTAGGACCAGGGAGGCGCCCAAAGCAAGCAGCCGCGATGGAGCCATCGCGCGCGGGCGCAAGCAGCCTCAACCCCCGGCCGCAACTGCAGCAGCGCTCGTCGGCGCTGAACTCCCCTCCTGAGCCGCCCCCGCAACCTACTAGCGGTTCCCCCCCTAGACCTCTCAACCGCTATCTTTGTTTTGTTTGTTTGTTTGTTTGTTTGTTTGTTGTTGTTTCTCTCTCTCTCTCTCTCTGTTTTTTTTTTTCTCTCTCTCTCTCTCTCTCTCTCTCTCTCTCTCTCTCCCTCCCTCCCTCAATATATATATATATATATATATATATATATCGTCGCGCGCGCGCGCCAGCCGCCGACGCCCGGCGCTCGGCGTCGCACATGGGCGGCGCCGTCCAGGCCCAGGGGGCGCGCGGGCTCTCCTGGCGAGCCCCTCGGCCCCCCTCGCCAGCTCGCAGCCCTGGCGCGCCGCGCAGGTGCCCCAGATCCTGCGCGCGCCCCGGGGCCGCGCTCGCAGCAGGCCCCCTCGCCGCCGAGGGCGTCGAGATACCTCATCCTGGACGAGGCGCCCCGGCCTCGACGGCGCGCGCGGCCGTCGGGGGCGCGCCGCAGCTGCCGCGGTGCCCCATCACGTGCTGGCGCCTCCTCAGGCCTTTCAAATCTGCGCCCCCTTCCAGTCCAGCTCCGTCGCGGTCCGCAGCCGCCTGCGCCCGGGGCTGGTCTCTCACGTCGTCGAAGACGGCGCCGACGACCTCGGCGCAGTCCCCTCCCTAGCCCTCGGCGCCGAACTTCCAATGGTCGCCCCTCCTGTCGACCCAGGTGTCGGGCCCCCTGGGGCCCCCGCCCTAATCCCATAGCAGCAGGATAAGGCCAGCGAGGGGCCTTCTCCTCGCCCGCCAGTTCCCGCGCGCCACGATCTTCAGCTTGCGGAAGTATCGGAGCTTGGAGGGCGCGAGCGGAAGTGGCCCCAACTGGAAATTCGGTTCGCGCCGTGCTCGCGGGCGAGGCGAAGCTGCGCGAGTTCCTGCGCTTGCAGAGGCCACGCGCAGCGCAGAAGGTCGCCCGCCCCCGCCCCCCCACGGCCCGGCGCGGCCCCCGATGGTTGTCCCGCGGGCGGTCCCGACGGTTGTCCCGATGGTTGTCCCGATGGTTGTCCCGACGGGTGCCCGAGGGTTGTTCCGACGGGTGCCCCGACGGGCGCCCCGATGGTTGCCCCGATGGGTGTCCCGATGGGTGCCCTGATGGTCATTTCGATGGTTGCCCCGATGGTTGCCCCGATGGTTGTCCAGATGTCTGCCCCGATGGTTGCCCCGATGGTTGCCCCGATGTCTGCCCCGACGGATGTCCCGACGGATGTCCCGACGGCTGCCCCGATGGTTGCCCCGACGTCTGTCCCGATGGGTGCCCCAATGGTTGCCCCGATAGTTATCCCGATGTTTGTCCCGATTAGAGCCCCGATGGTTGCCCCGACGGGTGCCCCGACGGTTATCCCGACGGTTGGCCCGATAGAGAGGTCGATGGAAAGACCGAGTGATACATAGATAGAAAGGTAGACTGATTGATGCGTCGGCTCGATAGACAGAGATCTAGATACATTGATGGATAGATAGAAGCAGAAGCATGGAAGGATAGATATGCTAGTTAAAAAGAAGCCAGCGACAGTAGGTGGCATTTCTTTGCCCGCGTACTCTTTGGCGGCGGCAGGTGGGAGTCATCGCGCATCGACCGCCCCCCCCCCAAAAAAAAATCCCCCTTATCACCCGTAGGGTGGCCCTATCGGCATCCTCGGCAGAGATTTCCTGACCTGCCCCCCGGGGTCGGGCCCCCTGGGCCAGACCTCGAACTACGTCTTCTGCCGCACCCTCGCCAGCAAGATGGGGGGGGGGGGGGCTCGCCTCCAGGGCTAGAGGCGCGGCGAGGCACCTGCCAGGCCGCTGCTTCCTCGGCGCCCGCGCGCGCCTCCTCCTCGCCTTTGCCCTCGCCAACGGGGGGCCCGCGCCACGTCGCGCCGCGCGTGCGCGATGCGACTGGCCCTTTGGCGAATGGTTCTGCGCATCTGCTTCTGGCCGCGGCCTCCTCAGCATCGCGCCTACGGCGGCGCGCCTCCCGCGCGCGCCACGCGTCTTCTTCTTCGCGCGCGCGCTGCTCCTGCAAGTCCCGCGCGCGCCCCCGTCGATGCCCAGGCCGCCTCGGCGACGGCTTGCGCGCGCAGGTCCTTCGCCCGCAGGGCCCTCATCACTGCTGGCGTGGTCTTGAAACTCGACGTGCAGATGACCGTCTTGCCCACGAGCCTGGGCACCGTCATTCGAGCCCAGCTCGCAACGATAGGGCGGCGTCACTCAGCTGCTTCTCGACAGTTTCGGCGCCGCCCACGATCCCGATGCTGATGTCGTCGAACCAGGCCCTTGGCATCGGCTTCGGCAGCGTCTTCGAGCTCTACATAGCGCGGTTAAGGATCGCGTAGACCACCGTCTTGGCGAGGGCGCTAGGGCCCGTTGAGCCTGCCAGCAGCGACCTGTCGCACACATCGGGGTGCCCCCCTTTCCAGCGGAGCATTCTCGTCGCCGAATGCTGCAGCAGCATAAATGAGAAGCAGCCTAGATAGCGAAGTCCAGTTGCAAGCTGTCCTAACACTTCTCGATGCCTGCCCGCAGGCTGCCGCGGAAGACCGCGAGCGCGACGCAACACTCGTCGGCGATCACTGCCGTCGTCGCCTCACGCAGGCAGCCGTTGCCAGAAACTGCCGCGTCCCATCCTCTCTCCTGCTCCCCTGCCCATCGCCTGACCTCTGGGCGGCGCAGAAGCTCCTTGCAGCGCGCCATCTTGGGCAAGAGTGCCAGCGCCCTGTCGCCCTTGGCGGGCTTCGGGATCAGCACTACCACCTCGCAAAGTAGCTGCCACGGCCCGGCGAGGTCACGTTCGCACGCGATTTATTTTAACAAAAAAAACTCGACGATACTCTGGCGGCCTGCGGGCGGCAACCTGCGGATGTCCGAGCAGTTCAGCATGCCTACACCCTTGCCCTTGTCGGGCTCTCCTCCCAGCGCCTCGTCCAAGTCGTCGAGGGTCCACTCTATTGCCTCCTCTCTGCCCGCCTGCCTCCTCGGCCTCTGTAGTAGCACTGCGTGCTGCTCGTGCCGCAGCGTCCCGCTCCTCCAAACCTCAGTTAATGCCTTTTGCCTTCTCGTCTACGATGGCGGTGGGGCAGTCCTTTACCCCGTCGTCCGTGACCAGCTCCTCTTTTCTCCTCGTCGGCGGCTTCGCGATGCGGTGAACTCCCGCATCCTTGTCCGCCGTCGCTAGCTAGTTGGTCTTCTCCCTGAGGTCCCTTCTGATCGTTTCTTTTCCTCCTCCGCCTGCATCGCCATGCCTTCGGTGATATTTGTATCCACCCCGTCTAAGTTCGCAAGCCTCTGTTTTCAAATGTCCCAGTTCAGCGTCGCCGTGGCCTCCGCTCCGAGCTTCGGTAAGCCGTCGCATGCGAGGTGCCTCCCCACCGCTGCCAAGTGTGCCTGGTGCACCTGTGTGCGGTTGCGCCTCTTCAGCTTGGCCAGTGGCGTCAACGTGCTTTCGGCTCGGCTCCACCAGTCTGCTCGGTGGTCGGCACAGCGCTTTCTCCTCTCATGTCTCTTATCCCCCTTCCTTCGTCATGGTGAGCTGCCTGGGCCCGACCCCCCTACCGCAGCACACACCCACAAGCCACACCAGAGTTTTCACTATCTTGATCCCAGCAGCCCATCATCACATCGCTGCTAACGTTATGTCGGGCGTGTCCCCCTACAGGGGCATTTTCCACGAAAAATAAACAATACCCCAAACATACCCCAGAATGGCCAACAAAAATGCTCCAAAAATAGTTCCCACACTATTTTGGGACTATTTTTGGATTATTTTGGGGGTATTTTTTTCGTCGAAAATCCCCCTGTAGAGGGACAGGCCCGACTTAACACTATCATGATCCCAGAGGCCCATCATCACATCGCTGCTAACGGCGAACTCCAGCAGTCTATCCACCGCTCGGATCCTCGAGGGGTCGCTTGCCCCTGGTGCCGGGGCCCGAAGTGGGCCTCGAGAAGCCCCAAACTCTAGAAAAATCCAGTGTCGCGCGCGACGGCGAAATAACGACGACGTTGACGACGACGACGACGACGACGACGACGACGACGACGACGACGACGGCGACGACGACGACGACGACGACGACGACGGCGACAACGACGACGACGGCGGCGACGACAGCGACGACGGCGGAAACGACGTCGACGACGAAGAAGACGACGATGCCGACGACCAGGACAGCGAGCAGGAGGCCGACGATGACGACGACGACCACGACGCCCAGGACGAATAGACGACGCCCACGACGAGGGCGGCGACGGCCGTGGGCGTCGACGACGACGACGCCCAGGACGACCCCCCCGCTGGGCCTCTCCGGGACGCCGGGCACGCCCGCGGGCCTCGCGCCCTCCGCGCCCCCCCCGGGCGCGGCGGCGACAGGGCCGCCGGCGCCCGCGGCGCCGTCGGCGCCGTCGCCGCCGGCGGCGCGCTCGGAGCGCGCCAGGGCGGCCCTCACGAGCGGCGAGCCAAAGACGCCCCTCGGCAGGGACTCCTCCTCCCTCCTCCTCCCTTCTCCTTCTCCTCTCCTCCTCCTCTCCTCCTCCTCCTCCTCTCTCCTCCTCCTCCTCCTCCTCCTCCTCTCCTCCTCCTCCTCCTTCCTCCATCCTCCTCCTCCTCCTCCGCCTCCTCCTCCTCCTCCTCCTCCTCCTCCTCCTCCTCCTCCTCCTCCTGATAGGCTCAGGACCCAGATCCCCTCGGGCCAAGAAGAAAGGTCACGGCGGGAGGTTTTGCCATATCTTCGGCCTCTGGAGGCCCCCGCCGGCCCTCGGGGCCGTCAAGAAACGATATGCAGGATGAAACACCGGTCCCGGGGAACGGGCCGAGGCCTCTGAGGGGCTCGGCGTTGGGGAGAAGGTCGTGACGCCGGGGGTCTGGGGAGAGGTCCAGGGCCGCGCTCTCGCGGCAGGAGCACGGAGCGGCACGAGCGCACAACCTTCCCTGGGCTCCGCGCGGACTCCTCGGACCGTCGTGCCTGGGGGCCCTGGCGGCGCCTCCGGCGTCGCCCCGGGGCGCGCTCCATCGCGCTAGGGAGGGGGAAGGGTCCAGCGCGGGTCCAAGAAATCCGCTCGGGCCCTCCAGAGTCTACGTTTATGCTAAGTGGAGGGGCCCCGGGACACACAAATAAGTACACACTAGTAAAAAGATGCCCCATATTTTCCCATATTTCCCATCTTTTCTTTGGAATCGACGATAAATTTTGTCTGTGTGTTTTTCCCTACTCTTCTTCTCCGAAGAGTGGACTCCTCGGCGCGACTCCGCGGAGACGCGCGGCCACACGGCTGCGCTCCGTGCCGGGGCATGCCGGGGAGGACCGCCCCGCAGCCGCGGGGTCGCGGTCCAGGGGCACGGCACGCGAGGCCGCGGACAATGGGGGGCAAACAAACCTACCTCGCTTTCGACCACCCTCGCTTCCAAGAGATACCAAGCGATGCCAAACTACTGCCTGTACTGGTCAGGCCGCTTGACGAGGAGGCGCGCGGTATGACTTGGTTTTGCCTGGAAGCAAAAGCGAGGTAGGTAGTTCACGCTCTGCGATAAGGATACGTTCTTCGCCCACGACGGCCAGGGGGCAGTTGAGCTTGTGGACGCGCAGCCAGCGGAAGGTGACGTTGATTCGCGGCTGCTGCCGGTCTGCGTCCTGCTGGGAGGGAGCCCTGACGTCTCGGGCGCGGCCCGGCTGAAGATGAGCCCGAATGTGTGCCCGAGCGTGGCCGAAAGCTGTGCAGAACATGCGGCCGAGTGCCCGAGTGTGGCCAAATCTGTTGGCGCGAGACCAACAGAGTGTCCACCTTCACAGTTCTGGGATCGCCTCCAATCAACCTTTAATGGCAGACACCTGTTCGGCTGCCAGTGAGGGGCTGGGCGCCGCCGCGGCATCCTCGCGTGTCGTGACGTGCACGCGGCGGCAGGTGTTTGCTGCCAGTTCTCGGCCCCCGATGGGGGGGGCCCGCGAGGCCCCAGGGATCCGTCACGAAACGACCCGGGCTGGAATGAAGGGGCCCTGGGACACACAAATAAATACACACAAATAGAAGGATCCCCTATATTTTCCTATATCTTCTTGGCTTTGGTCTTCCCCCCCCCCCCCCACTTCCCATATTTTCCCATATTACCCCTGGGAGTGGACGATTATTTGTGTCCGTGTGTGTTTTCCCCCTCCTGATGGAAAGACGGTCCCCTGGATGGGACGCACATGGACATACTAATACTATATGTCCTCCTTGGAGGCGCGCGTCCGACCCGAACATATAGTATACCCATCTTGTAGTATATCGTTTCCCGAGCGGTGTGGCCAGAAAGCGCCCGCCACGACGCATGTACTATAAGATTTCTCGGTGCGCGCGTCGCCCCTGGGGGGGCGACGCACATATAGTAGAAGTATGTTGGGGTGTTGCCGACTGGAAGCGGTCCAGACCCCTCTGGGGAGCCACGCCGCAGCCTCGACGTCGGGGCGCCCGGAAGGGGCGCCGGCAACACCAGGAGCACGGCGAGGGGGCACAGGGGAGAGCTGCGGCGACCCGCTCGAGGCACCCACGCCTCCCCTAGCCTCGGGGGGGGGGGGGAAGGCCCTCGTTGGCGCCCTTGGCCCGTCTCGGGGCGGTCTTGGAGGACCTCTGGGGCCATCCCGGAGCGTTGATCACCGACAGGGCGAGAAGCATCATGGTCTCGGCGGCTCCCTGGGCCGTCTCGGAGCCCTTTCTGGGACTCCGCGGGCCTGCGAGATGGCCCTCGCGGGCCGGCAGCGCCGCTCTTCCCACGCCTCCGGTCCTGCGGGCTGGCAAACGGGACGGCGTGGCTGCAGTGCTTCTGCGTCAGCCCCTCCCCGGCCAGTCACAGCAGCGAGGAGCCGCGCTCCTCCCCCCCCCCCCTGGGGGACTCCGTCGCCAAGACAGTCTCTCGAGAGGGGTGTCGAATCCGACGGGGCCCCCCGGGGGGGTCATAGGATAAGAAAAACAAATGAACTCTCGGAGGTCCGCGCGGATTTCGCGGATCGGCGCTGGACCTTGCTTGGCACATGGATCGCGCCAAGGGGCTCCAGCGCCGATCCAAGACATCCGCGCGGACCTCCACGGTCCATGCGTATGCAGGTCTTTCTTCGTCGAGGTACGGTTAGCGTTGCAGAGATGGCGTGCAACATCGATATCCGACAGGCACGCTATCCCTTGTGAGGCGATCCCCCGCGAGGGCCCTTTCTGCGCACTATCCCCCCGCCAGGGCTTCTTCGGTGCACGCTGTCTCCAAGGTTTACCAGCCTCGAACGTATCCCTATCCCTAAGATTGACACGCCAAAAGGCGATGACAATCTTAGGGATTCGCCCTCAAAAAATAAGGGAATCCCTAAGATTGGTATCGTGATGAGGAGGTGCCCAGCATAGGGATAGGGATATGTTCCAGGCTGGTAAAAGGTGGGGATAGCGTGTAATGAGCGGGCCACTGGCGCCGCATCGCACGCGCTCTCTCCGAGGCCAACCGATGAGGGCCGGAGCTGCCCCGAGCTGTGGCTGGCCCGCCTCCATGGTGATCAGGTCCCCGTCGCCCAGGTCCACCTCCACGACGCCCTGTCGCACGTCGGGGGCACCGCTCGGCAGCTTCTGGGCGAGCCAGAACTCCCGGGTGCCGCCGAGGCTCAGGGAAACGATTGGGAGGAAGAAAAACCGGCACAAACATAACATTTCGGAGGCCCGACCAGATTTCTTGGATCGGCGCTGGACCCCCCGGCGGCGCCTCCGGCGCCGCCCCTGGCAAGCTCCACGCGCCAGAGAAGGGGGTCCCGCGCCGACCCGAGAAAACCGCGTGGACCTCCGCATGCTTCTGCTCTGTGCCGTGCTCCCTTCCTCGAGATGGGGCAGTCGTGGGTGGCCCCCTGGAAGAGGAGCTCGTCGTCGGCGTGCCAACCAACCCCCTGGGCAGGGAAGGGAGAAGGAGGAGGAGGAGGAGGAGGAGGAGGAGGAAAACGAGGAGGAGGAGAAAGGAGGAGGAGGAGGAGTAGGAGGAAGAGGAGGAAGAGGAGGAAGCGAAGGAAGAGAACGAGGAGGAGGAGGAGGAGGGGGAGGAGGAGGAAAGGGAGGAGGAGGAGGACGAGGGGAGACAGATAGAGAAACGCCTGGGCCGGCGCGGGGCTCCGGGGGAGTTGCTCGAGCGACGCTGGGGCCTCCTCCTCCTCCCTCCTCCCTCCCTCCTCTCCTCCCTCCCTCCCTCCTCCTCCTCCTCCTCCTCCTCTCTCCTCCTCCTCCTCCTCCTCTCCTCCTCCTCCTCCTCCTCCCTCCTCCTCCTCCTCCTCCTCCTCCTCCTCCTCCCCTCCTCCTCCTCCTCCTCCTCTCCCTCCTTCCTCCTCCTTCCCTCCTCCTCCTCCTCCTCCTCCTCCTCCTCCTCCTCCTCCTCTTCCTCCTCCTCCTCCTCCTCCTCCTCCTCCTCCTCCTCCTCCTCCTCCTCCTCCCCCTCCTCCATTCGGAGGTGGAGCCGCTGCCCTGGGGCCGCAGTCCATAAGGGTCGGTGCTCGGGCCTCCGGGGGCCTCGGCTGGCCCGAACGCCAGCCAAGGCTGTTCGGGTCTGGCAGGGGAAGGTCGGGAGGCAATTCCTGGGAGGTCTTCGCCAGAACGAGGGCTGCTCAGACCGATTGGAGGGCCCCCGGGCCAGATTCAGCCCGGGGTGAAGCAATATGATCGGCTGCACGTAAGAGTGACCCTGGGTAAGAGTGACCTTTGGTGCGCGGCAAAACGGGGGACGCAGGGTGGCCAAACCTGGGCGCGCAAGCCGCTGCTACCGCTTCGCGCTCAGCGATCTGGGGATCTCCTTGGGCCCGCACCAAAGGTCACTCCGGCGAAAGGTAACTCTTACGTGCAGTCGATATTAAGCGGGATCAGACCAGATTTGGGCAGCTTTCGACCAGGGATGTACCAGCACCAACATAAGCTTTCGGAGGTCCGCGCGGATTTTGGACGGATCGGCGCTGGACCCCCCTCACAGGGGCGCGAACCGCGCTAGGCTTAAGTCAGGCGTGTCCTCCTACAGGGGGATTTTGGGCGAAAAGTAAAAAAATAAAAAAAACACCCCCAATGGGCAAAAATACTAAAAAAAATCGTCCCCATACTAATTCTTTGACTATTTTGATTATTTTCCCTGTAGAGGGACAGGCACGACTTAACGCTAGGCGTGCCGCCAGGGGGACCAGCGCCGATCCGAGAAGTCCGCGCAGACCTCCAGAAGCCAACGCGTCTACCCCGTGCTTCCCGCTGACGGGGCCGGCCGCGCCTGCACACCCAGGTCGGAAGTCTTCCGCCTTCGCGTGGCCCCTCCTAGGGGGCCACATGCGAACCCTACCCCACCCTCCCCCTCAGAAATCGTAGGGGGTAGGGGTAGGGTTCGCATGTGGCCACCTACCTCCTCCTCCCTCCTCCGCGGCCGCCCTGTCCGTCTTGTTCCCCTCTCCCACACGCTGGGCAATTCGCTCCTCGGTGCCCCCGTTTGGCTCTGTCGCTGGTTGGCGGCGCGCACAAGGGGGTGGAGGGAGGGGGAGGGCTTCTTAGAGGTAGGCTGCTTCTTAGAAGGCACCGACCTTACATCTATAGATCAGGCCCGCGCCTCCTAAGAAGCAAGGGTGTTTCTAAGAAGCCCTCCCCCCTCCCCCCACCCCCTTCTGCGCGTGGCTGAGCTGGTGCAGCCATTCTGCCTCGCCGCCGGCGAAAAAAAAGTGCTTACGTTGGGTCGGGCCTGTCCCCCTACAGGGGAACTTTGGGCGAAAACTTCAACAACAAATCAAAATACCCCCCAAACACAATACCACCAAAATGCCTCAAAATAGTCAAAAAATAGTCCCCAGGCTATTTTTGGACAATTTTTGAAAATTCCCCCTGTAGAGGGACAGGCCCGACTTATCGGCTATACGCAGGAGTGACCCTGGGTAAGAGTGACCTTTGGTGGGCGGCTTTGCGGGGGGCCGCGGGGAGGCCAAATCCAGGCGCGCTAGCTGCTGCTACCGCTTCGTTTTCAGCCATCTGAGGGCCCATACGTTAGGTTGGGCACGTCCCCCTACAAGGGGGACTTGGGGCGAAAAATATGAAAAATTACCCCCAAAAATACCCCCGAAATGATCAAAAAATAGTCCCCGGACTATTTTTTGACAATTCCTAGACATTCCCCCTGTAATGATAGGGACGGGCCCGCCTTATACTCAGCGCTCACGCCCACAGGCGGCCCCCCGACGGCCCCGGCCCGGGCCGCTCCCGGCCTCTCCCGGGAGGTGCGCTCGGGCGCCGGGATCTCCCTTAGGCGGCGCCGGCCGTGGCGCCGATGGGGCGGGCCGCCCCGCCATTCGCGGGCCCCGGAAACGGCAGGGCCGCTTCTGTGGCCCAATTCCCATATTTCCCTATCTTTTCTTTGGAATCGACGATGAACTTTGTCTGTGTGTTTTTCCCCTCCTGACTAAGGCATGCTCTTCTTCTCCGAAGAGTGGACTCCTCGGCGCGACTCCGCGGAGACGCGCGGCCGCACGGCTGCGCTCCGTGCCGGGGCAGCCGGGGAGGACCGCCCCGCAGCCGCGGGGTCGCGGTCCAGGGGCGCGGCACGCGAGGCCGCCGACAACAGGAGGGCAAAAAGACCTGCCTCGCTTTTGACCATCCTAGCTTCCAAGAGATACCGAGCGATGCCAAGCTACGGCCTGTACTGGCCAGGCCGCTTGACGAGGAGGCGCGTGGTATGACTTGAATTTTGCCTGGGAGCGAAAAAGCAGGGTAGGTGATTCACGTTCTGAATTGCCGTTTTGGTTTTTGCCGGTTCCGCCGCCGTTTTTTGTACCGGTTCCGTCGCCGTTCTCTTACCGGTTCCCGCTCCGGGTCCCTTCCTGGAGCCATTTCTGTTGCCGTTTCCGGTCGCCGTTGTTTTGCCGGGTCCATTTTCTCAAGGGCCACTTTTTCGGAAACGGTGAAGAAACGGCCCTGCCGTTTCTGGGGCCCACGAAGGCCCGCCAGGTCTCGTCGAGGAGACCATGTGAAGCAGGGCTGGACCTAAACGGTGTTTTTGGTGATTTCGTGGGCCGTTTTCGCTTCGACTTCGTCTTGCGGTAGAGGCGGGATCGAGGCAGGAGCGAGGGAAGCCGAAAACAACACGAAAACGAAAAACACCGTTTAGGTTCAGCCCTGATGTGGAGGCTCCCCGCGGCGCAGGCAGAGACGGAAGGCGTGAAACTTCGTGGGCCCTGGAAACGACAAGGTCGTTTTTTCATCGGTTCCGTTTTGCCTGTTTTTGCAAATTTCGACGCCGGTTTCTCACCAGCTCCGTCGCCGCTTTTGTTACCGCTTCCGGCTCCGGCCCCTCTCCCAGCTAGAGCCGTTGTTTGCCGTTTCCGGTCGCCGTTTTTGGGCCGTTTCCATTTTGAAGAAACACTTTTCAGAAACAGTGAAAAAACGGCCATGCCGTTTCTGGGGCCCACTAGGGTGTGAGACAGTGCGGCGAAAAAAAACGCGCACGGGAGAGAATATCCGTCCTGCGGATCATCGATCTTGGATCGGCGGCGAGCGAGGGGAGGAAGCGAGAAGGAGCTTCTCGGAAGGCGGCGGGGCTTCTCAGAAGCCCTCACGCCCTGCTGAGAAGTTTTCTGCGTCTTCGGGGAAGGCTTAGGACAACTTCTCAGCAGTCCAGGGAACGCCCGAGCCTTCTGAAAGGGCCCTGTCCTTCTCACTCCCTGCCATCGCTCGCCGCCGCTTGGAACGGCCCGGAAGGGCCGCCAGAAAGGCCCCTCAGAAGCCAGGAGGGTGCGCGAGAGGCCCAGCCACCCCTCGGCCTCCCATGAGAAATCGTCCACCTCCTCGGCGCGGGCCGGGCCCCCTCCGCGATCCCCCGCCCCCCCGTGCGCGCCGCCAGGCTGACTGGGGCGCCCCCACCGCCGCCAGTAGTACCTCCGGAGCCGTGAAGCACGCCGTCCACGCGACGTCGAGAACATGCATCGTCCAACCGCTGCCAAAGGAACCGCTCCTGGCTGCGGATGTAACAACCATCGGATGTGCAATCAGGGTGCTCTTGCCGCAAGGGAGAACTTGCGCATCTGTCCATCAACGCCGCGGCCGACCTGGGCGTCGGACGCAGGCCGGTCGACAACTCAGCGCCACCACCACCACTGCGCCATGCATCCGGAAGGACGCGTGGGCGGAAGAGCACGCGATTGGCGGCTCTTCGGTAAAGTCGAGCGAGCTTGCGGAGCCCCCCACGACTGCGAAGCAGGCAGCAGCGCGCACCACGACTGTGAGGTAGAACATGCAGTGCAACAGGACTGCGACCCAGACATGCGATGTCCTGATTGTTTCAGGACGGCGTTCCTAGAAGTCCCGACCCTTTCCCCGGGACCGGTTTTTCATTCTGAATCGTTTTTAAACGGTCCTGGGGCCTGGCGAGGGCCCCCCGGGGCCGAAAATAACGAAACACCTCCCGTCCTGATTTTTTTACCAACGCCATCATGTCTGGGGATGCATCGGTAGATGTCCCCCCTCTGGCGACTCTCTGGCTCCCGCCTGTTTGGAGTCCCGAGACAGTGCGGTGACAGACCGTGCGGTGACCTCGGAACCCTAAGGGACCTCACCGCACGGTCCGTCACCGCACGGTTTTGGGACCCCCGAGGCCCCTGTCGCCCGAGACATCCTCGGAGAAGGCCTCGAGTCCCAAAACCGTGCGGTGACCCCGAATCCCCACCGACTCATCGCACGGCGTGGTCACCACCCCGTTTGGGGGCCCCCGAGCCTGGGACCCGTCCTCGTAGAGGTTCAGGTTAGCGCAGTCTGGCCAGGCCTCTGGCGGCAGCCCGGGGAAGGCCGCGCCGAACACGCAGGCGAAGAGCTGCTCCATCACCTCGAGGGGGCAACGTCGGGAGGCGACACGCTCAGGGAGGGGGGGAGAAAGAGATACAGAGAGAAGGAGAGAGAAGGAGAGAGAAGAGGAGGAGAGAGAAGAGAAGGAGAGAGAAGAGAAGGAGAGAGAATAGAGAGAGAGAGAAGATAGAGAGAGAGAGAGAGAGAAACCACAGAAAACTAGCCAGAGCAAGAATTGGCAGCAACTGCGCGGGGGGGGGCATGTATGGGTGATCGACGTCGCCCCTGTTCGCAGGAGACGACCGCCGGGAAGCACGCGAGTGTGGGGCTGAGGGGGGAAGATTTGAGGGGGACTGGCTCAGGGGGAAAGCCAACAGCTGGCGTCGGCGACACCTCGCCGACAGCTCGGCGAGAACGGCCCCCGATACAGCGAACCCGCACGTTCCTGGGCGGGCGAGGGCCTGTCGGGCCCCTCTCGGCGATGCATGGGCGAGTGGGGGTTGCTGCGCCCCTCTCGGGTCGGGCGAAAGGGGGAGATAGCAAAAAGGGGGGTTTGAGAGTCAGCTCACGCAGCGGATTTCCCCGGCGCCTCCCAGCGCCTGAGGCGGCTATGTATTGAGGAATGGGCCCCTCGGTGGGGCCGAAACCAGCTGCATGCAGCAAATTTCGTAAGGCCCCCTTTCCCAATCCCCCCCCTTTCGTCCGGCCCGACCCTCCTGGGCCTATCCTCTGGTGGCTTTCGGTCCATGACTTGGGCACCCCCTGGGCGTTCGCGACGATCTGGGCACCCCTCGAACGCCCTCAGCGAGGCGCCGCCGCCAGAAGGCATCCCGAGGCTGGAAAACCACCGATCACCCGATCACGAAAAAGCCCGGAAACCTCCAGCCTCCCCAGACCCCCGACGTCATGATTTGTTCCCTAACGCCGACCCTCAGAGGTCTCGACCCATTCCCCGGGACCGGCTTCTCGTCCTGATCCTTTTTGTTGACGGCCCCGAGGGCCGGCAAGGGCCTCCAGAGGCCAAAGATATGGACAAACCTCCCGCCATGATTTCTGACGTGTCCGAGGGGATCTGGGACCTGAGCCTATCAGGAGGAGGAGGAGGAGGAGGAGGAGGAGGAAGAGGAGGAGGAGGAGGAGGAGGATGGAATGAGGAGGAGGAGGAGGAGGAGGAGGAGGAGGAGGAAAGGAGGAGGAGGAGGAGGAAGGAGGTGAGCAGGAGAACGAGGAGGAGGCGGAGGAGGAGGAGGAGGAGCAGGAGAACGAGAGGAGGAGGAGGAGGAGGAGGAGGAGGAGGAGGAGAACGAGAGGAGCAGGAGGAAAGGAGGAGGAGGAGGAGGAGGAGGAGGAGGAGGGGGAGGGAGGAGGAGGAGGGAGGGGAGGAGGAGGAGGAGGAGGGGAGGAGGAGGAGGAGGAGGAGGAGGAGGAGGAGGAGGAGGGAGGAGGAGGAGGAGGAGGAGGAGGAGGAGGAGGAGGAGAGGGGGAGGAGGAGGAGGAGGAGGAGGAGAGGAGCAGGAGGAGGAGGAGGAGGAGGAGGAGGAGAAGGGAGAGGAGGAGAAGGGAGGAGGAGGAGGGAGGAGGAGGATGAGGAGGAGGAGGAGGAGGAGGAGGAGGAGGAGGAGGAGGGAGAGGAGGAGCAGGAGAACGAGACGGAGGAGGAGAACGAGGAGGAGGAGGAGGAAGAGCAGCAGGAGGAGCAGGACGAAAGGAGGAGTGAAAGGAGGAGGAGGAGGAGGAGGAGGAGGAGGAGAACGAGGAGGAGGAGGAGGGCCCACCTCTCCTGCCACCCGTCCCCCCCCCTGGCGAATGCCCCCGGCGCCTGCCCGAAGGCGCCGCCCCGCACCTCCCCGGCGCTCGGCACGCGGGCGCCCATGCCGTAGGTGTACTCGCACCGGCAGCGGCGGTCGCGGGTGTACCTCCCCGGCAGTGCCCCGAGGGGGGGGTCCTCGCGACTCTCTCGGGAGGGGGGGTCCTCGCGACTCTGGGGAGGAGTCGCCGGAGGGGGGTCCGCCCGATTCTCTGGAGGGGGGTCCTCCGTGGCCAAAATGGCTACGGAGGACCCCCCTCGGGCACTGGCGGGAGGGGGAGGACCCCCCTCGGGAGGCTCGGGCGTTGGCAGAACTGGGTTCGTGGAACCTGGTTTAGTGATTTATACCGGGGGCGCCCCCCCGTCCCATTTCCACTGACAACTGCCGTCACCCGAAAAACACCAGTTACGGCAAACCTGGTTTACCGAATCTGGCCAATTGAGGGGCCCCAGGGCCCTGCCACTAACCGGGTCCCCTTACCCGGGGTCCTGGATATACCCGAACCTCCCCGGCAGTGCCCGAGGGGGGGGGTCCTCGCGATTTTCTCGGGGGGGGCAGGTCGCCTCCCCCTCGAGGAAGCCCAGACCCCCGATGCGAGGCGGCGGTTCTTTTTATCCATTTCCACCGCCTGGGGACCGACGTCCTGGTGCCCCAGCGGGCGGTGGATGTGGATACATATATATATATATATATATATATATATATATATATTTATCGGCCCCCGGGGGCCCCAATATGTCCATATCTGTCGAGGCTCCGAAAACTGACCCTCCAGGCGGTGGATGTGGATGAATTCCCGCCTCGGACCCGACGTCACGACTTCTTCGTAGCGTCGACCCCCAGAGCGACCGATTCCCCTGGACCGGTTGCTCGTCCTGGGTCGCTCTCGGACGGCCCCGGGGGTCGGCAAGGGCCTCCAGAAGCCACAAGTATGGAAAAGTCTCCAGACGTGACTTTTTCCTTACCCGAGTGGATCTGGGGGGGGGGCTCCTCCTCGAGGCAACGGGAGGCCAAAACCTTCTGTCCCGCTGATGCCCTATCCGCGACGAATCCGTGTCGAATCCGTGTCGGACTCGTCGAATCCTTGTCGAGTCCGGGGCGAAGCCGCGTCGAACACATGCCGAGGCAGCGCGTCGAGTCCGCATCGGCCCCGGGTCGGGCACAAGAAAAGACACCAGTTTGGAAGACAGGCGAGGTCCCCCGAAGATGCAACGCAAAGAGCCCACCCAGGCCAGGTGGCCTCCCCCGCCGGTGGAGCGGGGGCCCAGCGTCCGCCACGGGCGGCGGGGCCGGGCGGGCGGACTTTTTCGAATCCGTCCAGCAACCCGCGGGACCCCCCAAGACGCCCAAACATGTCCAAAACCTCGTAGATGGTCGATGCTCCATCCTACTCATCCCCCTCCATCTTCCTCCCTCCTGCTCCTGCTCCTGCTCCTCCTCCTGCTCCTGCTCCTCCTCCTCCTCCTCCTCCTCCTCCTCCCTCCTCCTCCTCCTCCTCCTCCTCCTCCTCCTCCTCCTCCTCCTCCTCCTCCTCCTCCTCCTCCTCCTCCTCCTCCTCCTCCTCCTCCTCCTCCTCCTCCTCCTCATCGATTCGATTATTGCCTTCCAGCAGGTGGTGGTGGCCACGGGGTCCAAGCGAAACCAGCCATGGGGTGCGGGAGGGCCAAATTGAAGGGGCCCTGGGACACACAGATAAATACACACAAATAGAAAGATTCCCCATATTTTCTCATATGTTCTAGGCTTTTGTCTTCCCCCCACTTCCCATAGTTTCCCATATTTTCCTCGGGATCGACGATTAATTGTGTCTGTGTGTTCCTTCCCCTCCTGACAGATCTCGGAACGAGCGCCACGCACGCCAACACGGATTGCGGACCCGTGGACCTGGCGAGAAGCCAGTGCCGCGCCTGATCTTGGGCGCCGGAGCGCGACGAGTCTGCACGGATACGGAACATCCGTCGCCATACTGCACGCGCCGCGACGAGAGGTTGCGCTGGCTCGACGGATGTCTGGGCTCGAGGCTCGAGGAATATTTCTGGGGGGGGAGGGAAGGGGAGGGGGACGGTGCCTTGGGGGGAATATTTTTGGGGAATATGTTGGGGGGAATATTTTGGGCTCGAGGTTCGAGGAATATTTTTGGGGGAGGGAAGGGGGAAGGGGACGGTGCAGGTGCGAGGGGAGGGGCGCAGTCGGGCCTCGTGGGCCCCCCTGGGCACCCCCCTTGTGGCCCGGAGGCGGGGCCCACTCTGAAGCTCCGGCTGGCCAGACTGCGCCCCCGGGAGAGGACTGTGGGCCGACCTGGAGCGGTGGAGGAGGTAGGAGCAAGGGACTGGCCATCGCTCGGACGTCCATTCCCTGTGCTTTTTTCGGTTTCGCGCGTGTTTTTTTTGCCAAATAATCAAGGATGCTCCTCGATGGTCCTCGCCGAAGAAAAAACGCACAGGTCCGAGCGATGCCAAGGGGAAAGCGGCACCACCCCCACCTGCGCGAAGAGCCAGGGGCGTCTTCCTGGTGCTGTGGCGCCCCCCCCTCCCTTCTCGAAGCATCCCGCTTCCCCGGCTCGGCGTGGGCCCACCTCGCTGGGGGTGGCAACCCGTGTGGTGGTGTCGATGGTTCTTGCTTTCGAGGAGGAGGGCCGGATCGAATCGGAACAAAACTGGGGCTCAACGTCGTCCAGCATGAGCCCGCCAGCCCGTTGGGCGACAGGTGGTCTAACGACATGTTTTCTTTCCTCTTCCAGAAACCCTCTTCGCCTTCGGAGAGGGGTTTATCCCTCCCCCTGCCCCCTCCCCTGGACCTAGACGGGGGGCTCGCGAGCAGCTGGAGCGCCCGAGATGGCCCAAGATGGCTCCAAGAGGGCCTCAGAGAGCCCAAGATGGCCTCCAAGATCGCTCAGGATAGCCAAACGCGGTTCATGCAGAGGGCCACAAGACGAATCCAAGTGCTTATGGAAACCCTTCAGGACCTCCCCGAGAAGCCAAAGTCCTTCAAAAACCTACGGAAAATCAATGATTGTTGCCGTTTCGCCTCTTCGCTTCCGATGTGTGTTTGAGGCCTCAAGATGGCCCCACGACGGCCCGAGAGAGCTCCAAGAGGGGCCCAAAAGGCCCCCAAGACGGCCCCAAGAGCGCCGAAGATCGCTCCCAGAGGGCCTCAAGAGCGCCCCAAGAGGCGGTTTGGAGGGCTCTTGGGGGGACCTAAATAAATGATCCCCCCTTTCGATCGATGGCCTACAAGATGGCCCCAAGCTGCTCTCCGAAGCTCCCAGGAGAGCGCCAAGAAAGCGCCAAGAGGGTCCCAAAAGAGCCCCAAGACTCCCCAAAAGAGACCCAAGAGGACCCCAGGACGGCCCCAAGAGGCCCCCGAGCGGCTTCAGAGAGCCCAAGATGACTTCCAAGATGGCTCAGGTAGCCGAAGCTGGCTCAAGATGGCTCCCAACATGCTCCAAACGGTCCCAAGACCGCTCCAAGAGCGCCCAAGAGCGCTTCAAGAGAGCCCCAAGAAGCGGTTTGCGGGCTCCTGAGGGGGGAGCTGAGTTGGGCCCCCCCCCATCCTGTCATCGATGGCCTCCAAGATGATCCCAAGAGGGTTCCAAGAGGGCCCCCAAAACTCCGAGAGAGCAGCAGCAGCAGCAGCAGCAGCAGCAGCAGCAGCAGCCGCAATAATACCTCGAGATGGTTCCATGAGTCCTCGTCCGCGTCGTCCTCATCCTAGTCCTCGTCCTCCTCGTCCTCGTCCTCATCCGCGTCCTCGTCCTCCTCGTCCTCGTCCTCCTCGTCCTCCTCCTCCTCCTCCTCCTCCTCCTCCTCCTCCTCCTCCTCCACCTCCTCCTCCACCTCCTCCTCCTCCTCCTGCCCTCGCCCCCACGCGACCCCCAGGGATGGCCCGAAGAGGCCTTCCAAGGCCACCCACCCCCTTGCTCCCAGAGATCTCTCGGTTCACCCTGGTTGCTCGCTTTGTTTGCCTAGATGTGTCTCTTCGTCCCTTTTCCCGTCAGCTCTCATGGGCAAAGCTTCTGAATGGGCTGCTGGAGATATTTTTTGTTCGCGAGCGCATACGGAAGGGCCGCGCGCCGTCCAGAGCTACAGCTAAGACCTGGTGGGGAGACGCGAAGCGAGAAGAATTATACAGGCCGTGCGCTGCCATGCAAGGAGTCATGAGTGCTGGGTCTGTGCGCATGGGCCCGTCGGCGAAACTTCCCTCACTGATCACGGGAATTACGCTGACGCCCTGGAGAGCGCGAGGAGGAGGAGGAGGAGGAGGACGAGGAGGAGGAGGATTGGTAAGGCTTGGGGCTGCTCACAGACAGCCCCCCCCCAGGCGGCCCGGCTGGCCTCAACAGGCCCCCCCAGTAGCCCCAGCTGGCCACAACAGGCCACCCGAATAGTTCGGGGCTCAACACCCCAACACCCCTTTTACCAAGGAGGGCCACGCGGTGTGGCGCACGATGGGAATGCCGCTGGTGCCAGGGTCCGCCAGGCAGCGAGAGCCGCGCTTCGCACGGAGGAGCAGCGCCTGCCAGGGAACGCAGGCCTGCAGCTGCGAGAAGAACCAGCACGAGGCGTCCGGGGGCAGCACCGACCGCCGGCAGAAGCTGAAGCACCGGCGGCCCTCGTCCCACAGCACCGTCCTCCCCAGACCTCCTCGCGCCGTGAACAGATCACCACCCCCGACATCCGCTCGCGTGCTGCTTCAATCTGCGACCCCACGAGGGTCCCGACCGCTTCCCCAAGGGTAGTCCATGTTTGATGTGGTCATGGGCTACCCTCTCGTTTGCTTCAGCACTTGGTTGCATGAAGGCGCTCTCTCTTCGATTGCTCAAGCAATTGGTTGGACTTTGGATATTCCGAGCTTTCGCCGAGGTGGCCGCCCGTGCCTCCTCGTGGGCCGTGTTGCGCCACGTCGTCGCCCGTGCCGCCTCGTGGGCGCCTCGTGGGCGCCCCCTGCGCTTGGAGGGTCTATGCCGAGGTTGCGCCACTGCCGGCCGTGCCGCCTCGTAGGCGCCTCCTGGGCACCCCGTGCGCTGGGTGGGTTTGACTACCTACCAGACCACCCCAACCCAACCCGAAGACCCGAATTTCGGGTTGGGGGGGGTAAGGGTTCCACATGTGTTTTTGTCGATGTTTCCCGACCCCCCCCACTGGAAATCGAGGGTAAATCTGAGCATTCGGGTTGGGTTGGGGTGGTTTGGTGGGTGGTGAGGGTTTCCCGAGGTTGCGCCAGGTTGCCGGCAGCGCCTCCTCGTGGGAGCTTACACGACCACATAGCTCACGCTGCGCAGCGTTCACCTCCACAGCGCAACCTCCACAATGCAATCACGCACTGCTTGGGGTCCACGCTGGTGAAATATATCAGAAGGAACGGGCCGAACGGTAATTCACTGTCCCTGGGCTCGTGGCTGAAGTGAGATTCCGCGGTGTGGATTGTTGTTGTTGTCGTCATTGCTGCTTTGCGTGTTGTTTATTGCTTGTTGTTTGTTGTCGTCGTCCCACCCGCGACCCGGCCCGCGACCCATCCCGCGACCCACCCGCGACCCAGCCGCGACCCACCCTGCGACCCACCCGCGACTCCCCCGCGACCCACCCGAGGCATACTCCGTCACCCGCCCGCGACACACCCGCGACCCACCCGAGACCCACCCGCGGCCCACCCGCGACCCACCCGCGACCCACCCACACCCGCATGGCATTATTTGCTGGGCGTCGTGCCCCCTCCCCCCCCCCGCACCAGCACGCGCGCAAGGGCGTTCGAACCATGGCGAAATGCGGCGCGGGAGGCACGCGTGGCCGAACTGGATGAAAATATTGAAAAACGATGGCGTTCTTGAGAATTCGCGACAGCGCGCAAGAGTTTTAAGTGATGTTGCAAAACAATGCGTCGTTGTATGTTTTCGGGGCACTCGATGTTGAAACCCTTGCGAAGCCTAAGGTCTCGAAGGACTGCGGCACGCGCGCGCGACGAAGCGCGCGCATGCACTTCGCCCCGTTAGTTGCAAGGGATTCTGGTGACAGGGCGCGCGCGAGGGCGCCCTTGCTTTAACGAAAAATTTCGCGCCTGCGGCGGTCTGTGCATACATGGTTGAAAATTCAACGCTTGCGGCGCGCCTCCTCAGAAACTCGCAAAATGCCGACGTCCCCGTCACCCCCGTTCACTCTTATCCGCAAGTGCGGGGTGCTATGTAAATATACAGACAGACGTATCAGAGTGAGGAGACCGAACGGTCTCACACCATCCCCGGGCGCGTGGGTGAAGTGGGATTCCGTGGCTTGGATTGTGCTTGCTTGCTGTTTTTTCTTGGTGTTGCCGTCGTCCCCCCTGCGACCCACCCGCGACTCGCCCCGCGCCCCACTCCGCGACCCACCCCGCGCCCATCTGTATATTTCTATACAATATTTCTATACATAAGTACACGTTCTGCTTCTGTATACAAGCAAAAACGCAGCGTAAAACCCATACCGTCGGAGATCTGGGACGGAAGGTGTTTGACCACATTCAGGCTCCGTGACCCCTAGCATCCAAGGAATACACGAAGGGCTCAAGAGCGCCAGCGTTGTCGTCGTCGTCGTTGTCGCCACCGCCGTCGTCGTCGTCTTCCCCCTTCAGGGTCGGCGGCGCCGGCCGTTAGGCCTTCACAAAATACATTGTCGGAGATCTGGGACGGAAAGTCTCCGACAACACTCAGGCTCCGTGAGCCCTGGAGGACCCCAGGAACCCACGAAGGGCTCAAGAGCGCCAGCGTCGTAGTCGTCGTATCCGCCGCCGCCGCCGCCGCCGTCGTCGTCATCGTCGTCGTCGTCGTCTTCGTCGTCGTCATCCCGCTTCACGGTTGGCGGCACCGGCCGTAAGGCCTTCGCACTATGCATCGTCGGAGATCTTAGGCGAAAAGTGTTCGACCATATTCCGATTCCGCGGGCCCCCAAGGATCCCGGGACCCCACGAAGGGCTCCAGAGCGTCGTCGTCGTCGTCGCCACCGTCGTCATCGTCTTCGTCGTCGTCGTCCTCGTCGTCGTCGTCCTCGTCGTCGTCGTCGTCGTCGTCTTCGTCGTCCCTCTTCAGGGTTGGCGGCGCCAGCCGTGAGGCCTTGGCAGTGCACATCGTCGGAGATCTGGGCCGGAAGGCCTCTGTGGGGAAGCCATGCATGAGGTACTGATGCCGCTACTGCCACAGCCTTTGCCAGGGTGCGCTCTCACCAGAAGTTTGGGGCGGAACTAACGGTGGCGACGAGCGCCTCCCAGGAGGCCCACAAAGGCCGACGATGGAAGGCTCCTCCACTGAGTTGGACTGCGGTGCGGCTCCGTGAGCCCCCAGGGGGCCCCGGGAACTGTCCACAAAAAGCGGACCGGGAGGAGAGACCTGCACTCCCGACCTGCGGCCCTCGACCCGCAGTACCGTCGTGCCCAAATCTCTGGCGTCGTTTTTTTTGGTTGCAGGCCTCCAGAGCCCGACATGTATGTATATGTCTATATAAAAATGTTTATAGTATATAAATACATACATACAGACATACATCTACACATGCTTACACATACGAACGCACAGCTACAACGTACATACACATAACAACTAAACATATACATATACAGACACATTCACAGACACGTATACATAAACGTATATACAAACACAAACATATACATGTACACATACATATACACATACACATACATAAACGTATACTCATACACACACGTACACATATACATATACGTATACGCATACATATACGTATACATGTGTTATGAATACACATATATATATGTAGTGAAAGAAAACACGTCGCTGTTCGAGATGTCCGACATGCCTGCGTAACGATGCGACTGCCGCCACGCCCGCAACTGCTGCTACCAACACGCCTGGATACTATAATGCTCGACGCGCCGCCTCGGCAGAGACGTCTGCACAATTGGAGGAGATGGCCGCGACGATCACATGACCGAACCACTCGACTCAAAACAATCGGAAACATGTAATGGAATGCGCCGATCCACCGTACATCCCGTGATATGCTACCGGGCGCACTTCATAGGTGTGCGTTTTGCTAGGCTGGAAAATACAACAACAACAACAACAACAACAACAACAACAAAACCTCTCTCTGATCACTTACATGGTCGTGTTCCTTATAAGTGACGACAGCGCACAACAATGTGAAACTCAAAACGACCACATTTTAAACAGGCGGTTGCTGTTTGGGGATCTAGTTGCTGTTCGGAGGGATAAATTATCTTGTCCTGCCGTGGCTACCAGACCAACCTTAGCTAAACTTTCCAAATTGGCGCTTGATCGAGATGATTCGAGCCTACATCGGATGGGCGTTCTTTCTCGGGCGCCTTGTGTACAGAAATTCCTTTCTGACGAACCTTGTCATGCACCCACGACGGTTGCGTGCGCAGGTGGCGTAGCGATTGCCTTCGCCGAGACCCTGTCTGTGAACAGCCTACGTCTGGGCTCAAATCCAAAATCTCGCGCCATTGCTTTGAAACCTGGACATGTATTACGATGTTGTAGAATCCTGATTCCCTGGAGAGCAATACCAACACAGTCTCAATAGAGGAATACGTTCGGATACCATGCTGCCCATGCAAGCGGGCGAACCCATACGTGCTCTGCTGTGTGCCCAAGCACCCTGCATGGCCACCGTCTACGTAAACATCACAGTCAGATTGTGGAGGCTGCAACGTAGTCGCCGACGCGTTCTAGGGCAATGACGCTAATACCTACCAGTGCGTCTTACTTGTTCCATGTCTGCCACCGTGGGGTTGGACATGCCACGCGATGCTTCCTTTCCTGCGAATTGCAACTCTGCGCGGGCAAACGCGAAGAAGTTGATTCTCACGCACGCATTCCTGGACCCAGCGGTCATCTTTGGATCAAACTTTCTGTTTCACACCAAGCGCGGTTACTGACTTCGCGTTTGCTCGCGAACGGCCCAAACCAAACTGCAAAGCAAATACCTGTTCGTACTCAAGATACGGCTTTGTCGTCCTCTCGCTTGCACACCAACGGATTATGTTGCTTAAGCCTTGAGCAATATACTCACTGGATGCGGTGATGGAGGTCATCCAAGGTACCACGGTCTGCAATGTCAAATTTGCCGTCATGTACTCAGAAACGATTTTAAACCTACAGCTGAGCCCACTGCAACGAAATCGTCTCCTTGTACGTAACATTTCAAAACGCGTACCTTGTGTGCCAAAACACATGGGTCCCAAACCCACTAGAGAATCCACCTGCATGCATCACTTCCGTGCACTTCGGCTCCCAATGAAAAGCGGCATCACGGGTGCCGTATAGGCTTTTGTTCAAACAGCCACACGTGCCAGGCGAATGGTTTTCTGGTGACAACTGCACATACACTTCTCAAGTGGCCGAGCATGAACATGTGCACGACGACCGTCCAGAAACAACAAAGACTCACGACTTGTGTTGTTTGGGCTACTCTGTCATGCACAAGCTGAGGATGAACAAGCCTCACATGGTGGAGTTGCTGCAAAAATGTCGCCTCTGTCCTTAAAGTTCTTCAGCTCCTGTACTCCGGCCAATTCTCGTCGCCTCTGTTCACGCCCACCCCACGGGTGCCTATAGGAACACGGCCTGCTCTCCCAAAACATTCAGACGGACTTTCGTAT